CGGCCAAACACTTCATCCCAGCAGATTTAGGACTTCTTGGGGAAGGAGCCATGCCAAGTGGGACTTTCCCACAGACGCTATTAAATTCTCCTTAACACAACACACCTAGGCTAGGCATGGTGGCTCACACCTGTCATCCCAGCACTATGGGAGGCAGAGGTGAGAGGATTGCCTGCTCCCATGGGTTCAGACCAGCCTGGGCAACTTGGCGAAATCTTGTCTCTATAAGAAATCAAAAAAATTTAGCAGGGCGTGGTGGTGTGCGCCTGTCATTCCAGCTACTTGGAAGGCTGACCTGCTGGGAGCCTGCTTGTCCAAGAGTGTTCTGTCCCCCTAGTAAGGGGAAGAGGGAACCCAGTCCCATTCCTGTCCGGTTCACTCAGGTGCAGCCAAGCCAGAAGCCACTATGCAGAGCCATCGGCCATGCAGCGGGGGCTTATGGGTGGGCGGTGGTGTGGGTGTCCCGGGGGAGAAGGCATGGGCCCTTGGGAGGGTCCGTGGATGTGTGCACACACCCCCTCATTCCCACATGCGTGGGCACACACACGAACACATGCACACACAAGAGCTCTCTGAGCTCAGAGATGCAGGGCATTCAATCCTTGCCTGGTGCTGGCACTGGAAGAAATTTTCCGATTTAGTGAACGAGGAAAAGTGGCCTGCATTGTCACACAGAGGCAGGAGACACCAGAGCCCGATCAGAAAACCCCAATGTCTGTGTGTGTGTGTGTGTGTGTGTGTGTGTGTGTGTGTGTGTGTGTGTGTTTTGTTTTGTTTTGCTTTTGAGTCAGAGTCTCACTCCATCACCCAGGCTGGAGTGCAGTGGCAGACTCACGGCCACCGCAGCCTCGATCCACTAGGCGCAGTTGATCCTTCTGCCTCAGCCTTCTGAATAGCCAGAGCTAAAGGCAGGCACTACCATACCTGGCTAATTTTTTGATTTATTGTAGAGATGGGATCTCACTAAGTTGCCTAGACTGTTCGCGCATGTGTGTTTTAATGAGGGTAAGGACAAGAGGTTTGAGAGAAGCAGATTGGCTAAAAAAATTTTTTAAATGTCTAGCAAACTTAAGTGTATCAACTTCCCTGTATTAGCCACCAGAGTGGCTTACCAGCCTTTGATATTGTGTGTGTGTGTGTGTGTGTGTGGTTGATACAGACTCTGAAGTGGGCAGGGTCCTCACCTCTTGACAGTCACGGATGAGGTGACAGGGTGCAACCCCAGGATCACTGCCTGACGCTCACACACGGACGCAGCCACAGCTTCGAGAACATCCTTCAACGAGAACATCCATCCAACGGTTGGGTGTCTGCCCGTGCTCAGCGCCACAACTCTTCCCGCTGAGATAAGCCAGGTCTGCCTCACAGGAAGAACAGGCTATGCTAGACTCCTTGCCACAGTGGCGGTGACTGAGTGGACTTCTCCTCTGCCTACTGCAAATTAGCCATGGAAGGGGACACCGTCCTCCGCGGACAAAGAGCAAGTTGGCTGTCAGCTCGCTTCCTCCACGTGCCTGTGGGTGAATCACCCATATGTTGACCTCCTTTGTCAAGTGGAGGCGCTGGTGTCTGCTGTGCTGATCTCACGGGGCGGGAGTGGGGACAGTGGGAGGTGGCTCTTACAAAAGTGAAGGGCATTTGAGATCTTGGCTCCATATAAAAAATTAGCCAGGCATGGTGACATACACCTGTAGTCCCTGGTGCTTTGGAAGGCCAAGACAGGAAAACTGCTTGAGCCCAGAAGTTTGAGGCCAGCCTGGGCAATACAGTGAGATCTCATGTCCACAAAAATATTAAAAATGTGGCCAGGCGTGGTGGCACATATCTGTAGCTCCAGCTACTTGGGAGGCTGATGTGGGAGGATTCCCTGAGCCCAGGAGGTTGAGGCTGTGGTGAGCCATGATTGTGCCACTGCACTCCAGTCTGGGGGACAGAGTGAGACCCTAATGCAAAAAAAAAAAAGTGGAGGGTGTTCAAGACACCAGAAAAGGAACCATTAGTTTGGGATGTGTTGACAGAATATTAGTAACTAGGTGGTCATCACTGGTACTCTGGGAAGCATGGATGGCCCACGGGGGATTCTGGGGCATTCATTCCGTGTGAGGCCCAGAAGTGACGTGTGTGGTTTATCTAAAGGGTCTGCTGTCTAGCGATTGTTCACGAGGGACTTGGCGTCTCCACTCCCCATGCCCTGCAAAACCGCCACAGGGAAACTTCAAACACAGGGATCTCCCCGGTGACCCCAAGCAGTGCCAGGCGCTGTGGGACACTCCAGGGCTTGTCTGGCCAAATTGGCTGCAGCCCGAACCCAAGGCCAGCGGGATGGGGAAGCAAGTGCTTTGAGGCGGAAACGAGTGAAGGACCTCATGTCCTCTCTCCAGCCAACTTCAGCCCACCACAGCCTTTCAGGGAAGAGCCATGGAGCGCCCAAGTCCCGGGGGTGGGCTGCTGCAGCCCCAGGTTGGAAGGGTGGGCTTGGGGACCTCGGACCTGCGGGGTGAGGGGCAGGGGTGCTTCAGGCTTCTCTCGGTGACAATCCGCTGACCCTGGCGTGCACACAAAAGGGACTCAGCCCGCGAAGGCCTCCTTGCCTCCCTGCCTGGGATCTCTCCACAGCCCAAACAGGGTGGGTCTCTCGTTATAGCAAGTGGAGACCTCAGAAAGTCCCTCAAGTTTATTTTAATAGGCTTTAGAGTTCAACACAAATAAGCAGCACAAACTGTAGGGGTGGGAAAAGGAATGGGGCAACCCCATTCACCTAATCACCACGGGGGCCAGCCCCCCACCCCCTCCCGTCCTGACATCCAGGGCCTGAACCTCATCTCAGCCCATAGCGGGCAGGGCAGGGGAGGGGGCAGACCACCCACACATCTCCCCTATGCCATGAAGACCAGTGGTGTCCAGTGGGTCTGTCTGAGGCAGGTGCAAAGGCTACAGCATCCGTGCATGGAAGCATCACTCCAGCCTGGGAGGGGACGGAGGCAGACTCCACGTGGAGAGAGGTTCTAATCCTGATGATGTGTGTGTGGTGGGGGTGGAGGGGTGGAGATCAGGAGGAGGAACAGACTGACAACTGCCACCTTGGGTGTTTAGGAAATGGTGGTGATGGCTCAGACGAGGAGCCAGACATGACGGGTGACCGTGAAGAAGAAGAAAAAAAAAGATCAAAAACCCAAAATAAATGAAACTGGGGCCATGTGGAAGTGAGCTCACGTTCCCAAGGTCAGGGCTGGTTAGGGCACAGCTCTCACCAAAGTCCACCTAGTGAGGGATTACTTTAGTGCTAACATCACTACGACTAGGACCACAACAGCCTACGCACACACCGCACCGCGTTCTAGCATCACACTGAAGTTGGTATTGCCGTGTCACTGCATTGAGCAGGTGTGGTGACATCAGCGGTTCCTAATTCCGACAGCTGGGCTGCAGCCGAACTGGTGTCTGCAGGTCGTGTCTGCTAACAGAATAAATAATTGTGCATTCAGTTCATGTGACGTGATCTACGCTAACGGAATGCCCAACTCAATATTACAGGATCATGCAGAGCCATGAAAGGAAAGAGAAATGTCGCTTCTGTGTATGTACCCAGAATGGGTAAGACCCTTGGAGGTGCACCCGAGACTGGGGATCCCGGCTTTGACTCATGCTAGGACCACGGACCACGTCTGCATGTTGGCCACACGTGTTGGCCCTGGGCCAGCCACCCCTTCCAGGCTGTCTCTTTCCCTGTTTTGTGGCTCAGGCCCCTGGAGGTCCCCCGCACGGATCTTCTTGTCTTGGGCGTGTTCAGAGACACACCTGCGCTCAGGGCAATTTTTAGGGGACTCCGGGAGAAAAGTGCAGGGTCTTTGCCACATCGGGAAACAAAATCATCGTTTTCATCACCAAAACGACCGTTGAAATGACTTCTTCCTTTCACGGGCCATGCTCTTTCTCTTCCACACCACTACATGAGTGCCTTTCACGTTCTAATTCTACCATTTCAGAGACAGATGCCAGTCCAGGAGCCGGTGACTCATGGCTGGCTGTTTCATGGGCTCCTCTGTCGGGGAGAACCTTCTGGGCCTGAGATGGGAACACGGTCAGCCCCAGCGTTCCCTGATCATCCAGCAGAAGCACAAGGGGGGTTTCTGGGAGGTCGTGTGATGACCTAGCACTGCTGAGGACTGGTCCTTCGGGACAGAAATGCTGATTTTTCTGGAAGCCCCTGCTAAAACCCCTGGGCCATGTCAATGTGCAGTGAAGGGGTTGAGTTGTAGAACCAAACTGAAGTGGGGTTGCTATGAAATGGGGACGTGAGGGTCATGTTTCCATGAGTTGACCATTGACGGCATTGCATCAGTGCAAACCCAGTGGACACCGGGGTGCTCTTTCCTGCTCCGGGTCTGGCCAAAACGTGGACCCTCCCAACATTTCTCCTTCCCGGGGATGGAGCGGAAAGGGTCTCAGTCGCCTCTAAGGTCATCCTCACTCTCACTGAAAGGTCACGTTTCTCCATGTCTTCCCGAGGGGGCAACCGTAGCCTAATGACCGATTCCGAGATGCCATTTGGGAAGAAAGCAAAACTTGTGTTTACAAGACTATCATAGATGTGTCACTGTCATGAGTAACATCTGCGAAGCTGCAAAACCGCTGAGGGTTTTCCACCGCTCTCCTTTCTCCGCTCACGACGGGAGAATTCAGCACTGCGACTCGTGAATGGGATCATCGTGACCTCACACCCTGGAGACTTAAGAAGCGGATTGTTCCGAAGGCAGCTACCGTTCACAGATCGCTGGTGTTCGTGTTCAAGAGAGTACCACCGGGTGGTGAGTTGAAAGGCGCTTCTTCTTTGTATCTTTTTTTTTTTTCCTTTTTCTATTTTGGGTAGAAATATTCCTGGGAAGCTAGATAGAAATGCATTTTCATTTCCCAATAATTCTTAGGCACAAGTTAGAAAACGGCTGACCTTCACTAAAATATGTCAGCACTTTGTGTTATTAAAAAAATGCAATTCAGAATCGCCGAATGTGTATATGCGTGTATCTAAATATACACACATCTCGGTGCAGTACACAATGGTTATTCAATGTATATTGAAAACGGAGCTATTTGTAACTAACCTGAAATTCTGCAGTGGGAGTTCATCGCTCAAGGACAATTGGAAGTGTCTCTCTTTTGGCTCTAACTAGGGTAAAACTTTTAGCACACCAGACTCTACCGATTACGCGTCCCTAAATGCCGACACCGAGACAGTCTTACACGGGGGTCAGAGGAGGACACGGCCTAGGGTGCAGCTACTGGGCATGCGCGCAGGGCCAGCTCCGGCGGCCCCCTGGGCAGGACCCCCCGGGGTGGGCACGCTCGGAGGACGAGAAGCCGGGGCTCCCGGGGGCTGCATGGCGGCGTCATCTGGGTGTCGTGCTGACTCTGGCCGGGGATGAAGGTCCCGAGGAGGAGCCGCGGTACACGGGGGATGTGGGGGAGAGTTTGACGGGGCTGGTAGGGTCCCCCGTTTGGAGCTTCCAAAGCAGCTCTTCGTTGGTTCGACTCAATCTCTTCTTCTCCTGCGTCTCCTTCTCAACGTATTCCTGGAGATTGGCATTTTCCTCCGACAGTTGTCTGTGTGGGAGACAAGGACAGAAGATCAAGTAGTGATCACACCAGTGGACACGTCACTTGTGGTCAGACCAGTGGGTGCAGAGGGAGGAGGTGGTGACGCACGCCTGCAGGGAGAACAGGGATGTTTCCCACCCGGTGACCGAGGACCCAGGATGTAACGTGATTTCCACATGGCCCACTGACACGTCTGTTGCCAGACAGCTCACAGGTCCCCTGCCGGGCCAAGGGAGTCACCAGCTGCCCAGGGGACACAGCAAAGGGGGGAGGGGTGTGAGGAGCTGGTGGGTGTGTTGCTGGGAGGCTCAGAGAGGAGGGACAGCCAGGGGTTGGTAGTGACAATGACTTCCCAAGCCTGCTGGGAAGCTGGGGGTTGCCTTCTCCTGTCTCCCCTGCCCTGGCTCATGCCTCCATGACACAGGGGTGACCACTGCTGCAAATGCTGGTTGGTGGGTCTGCCTGCCTGCTGGCCCATGAGTCCTGGAGGACAGTGACCAAGGTGCTGTGTGTTGAATCCCTGGCACTTGGCTGGTGCCTGGCATATCACAGGTGCTCACTTAACATTTGCTGATAAAGGAAGCTGGATTTAAAATGATTCCATGCATTTCATGCTTTCTGTCGTGACCTGAGTTGCGTGCTTGGTCTCATTCTTTAAGAATGACAGCAACTTGAGGAATGGATGAAAGTGAGTGCATGTGCGTTTGACAGCTGCACAGATGGAGGCCCCGAAAATCCCCAGCTCTGGGGTAAAGCCTGCATTCACTCTGCTGACGAGGGCATCTCTGCAGGTTCCCTGGGGAGGTCTGTGCTTCTTTCTTTACCCCACTTTCCCAGGCTGCGTCTTCAGGGGGGCCAGCAAAACTACCCACCAGGGGCCCAGGGCCTGGGGGCTGAGGGAGTGAGGGGGCAGGACCCACTGGCTCCTACACAGTCTTCCCCGGGTGCCTCTGAGGTGCCTGCACCAAGAGTTTGGCTGTGGAGGCAGTGGCTTTCTGTGTGCACGGAAGAGTATGTGTGTGGTTGTGTGCACGTGAGGGGGAGTGTGCGCGCGTGGACGTAGGTGTGAGGAGTGGGGCTGTGAGGGCACGTGAGAGTGGGTGTAACTGTGAGTGTGTGAGTGGTGTAACTGAGTGTGTGAGTGGTGTGCACGTGAGGGTAAGTGTGGGGGTGTGGGTGTGTGTGTAAGTGGGAGTGTGAGGGCGTGTGAGAGTGGGTGTGAGTAACTGTGTGTGTGTGTGTGCATGCGAGGGTGTGTGAGTGTGGACGTGTGTGTGAGGAGTGGGGGCGTGGGACTGTGCAAGAGTGGGTGTGAGTGTATTCACCCCGAGAGTGTATGCATGCGAGTGTGCGTGTACAGATGACACACTGTGGGTGCACCCAGGAGTCCAGCTCAGTCAAGTGGGTGAGGGTTCAGGCCGGGGTCTCTTGGAGATGGCCCAGCCCCCGGGGACACAACCTTCGGTGGCCCCGAGAAGCCCGATCCCTGCTTTCACTTCATGCTCAGCTGTAGAAGGAGAGACCTCCACCGACTTCCCGGGAAGTCAGGCCACCTCAGAGCAGGGTCCTTCAGGGACAGGCAAGACCAACGTGGAAGTGGCAGATTTCTGGAAGCTGGGGTGTCACCTGGCGTGAACACCAGCTGGCCCGCCTATCCTAATCTCTTCCAGAAATAATCCCCACCCTACCAGTGCTATGAGAGAGCCCAATTTCACTCATTTCTCCTGTGGTGGGGCCCAGGGTCCCATAAGCTAGATGGTCATGGGGGTATGTTCTTATTCTTCTGGTTGTAGAGGAAACATCAAGGACTGAGGGGAAGCCTCCCAGCTCAGAGGAATGGAAGCCAGACATCAGGACGAAAAGTTCAAGGAAAGCCCCTTTGTAGGTGACGCGTGCTTGGTAAGCCCAGACACCCAACGCACCTACCTGGTGACAACCGTGTTCTGGTCAATCCTCGCTTTGAGGTCTTCATTCTGCTGTTGGAGAACTTGAATCTTTTCTTCCAAGATAATGTTCTTTTCTGCCTGTAAAGGATGCTGTGTTTAAGAGCTGGCAGCAAGGCCACGAGACAGTCAAGGAACCGGTGCCCCTGGCTCTGGGTTTTGCAGAATTATTAGGAAAAGCATTTTGGAAACTGCTGTTTGCAATGCATTTATGGGTTGAAAAATCAGCCCAGACAGATGTGGCCAGCATTTCCTTTTTAAACAAAATAAAACAGAATTGAAAATGCCAGCGCGTACCAGATATAGTAAAGTTTTGATATTTTTATTTTATATATATTATGTGTGGGTAGTGGTTCCTGTGTAAAATGTATTCCTTACAGTGAGCGACTCCAGGCCCTTGACATTATTAGAGATAAGTCACCCCAGGCCCTTGCCACTGTCAGATAAGTCATGAATACCCCCAGGACCTAGTTTGACTAATGGTCCCCTGTGTCTTCTCAAAGGATCAACTACGCTGCAGCAGTGTCCCTGGCCAGTCATGCATGCACAACATGACATTCTGAATTAATGGGGGGATGAAAATATAAATAACATGAACACACTGCACCCTTTTCACAAAGCCCAAGACCAGCTTGGCACAAGCGGTCCGAAAATCCCAGCATGCCACAGCTGTTATTCTCCTGAAATTGATGCCTTCTCTCTGTCATTGTGTCCCCTAGGGCCTGAGACCTCGCTGAAGTATTCTTTTCTTCTAAGATGAGTTTAGAAATAAAGATCTTTTGAAAAGAATGAGATGAGTTCACTGTTAACGTAGTTAACCTTTAAAGAAAACTGTCCTGCTTAGGCAACATAGCAAGACCTCATCTCTAAAAAAAATTTAAAAATAAAAATAAATCAGTCGGGCGTGGTGGCATGCACCTGTAGTTTCAGCTACTTAGAAGGCTGAGGTGGAAGGATAGCCTGAGCCCAGGAGGCTGAGAATGCAATGAGCTGTGATCCTGCCACTGCACTCCAGGATAGGCAACAGAGTAACACCCTGACTCAAAACAACAACAACAAAACAATAATAAAAGGAAAAATAAGACTCTATCTGAGACTATTGGGCCAACTCCCACAAGATGGGCTTTCCTTGGAAGCTGGTTCCCTGCTGCTATGTTCGCATACCTTTCTGGGAGTCTAGCCTGGCCTGAGGTCCCCTGTGGCAAGGTGGTAGTGGGCATCCTTTGCTGATTCTGCAAGGAGCCAGGCTGGCTGGGGGGTGAGGTGGGAGCATGTCAGAGGGTAAGGACTCTGTCATGACTGAATGTTTGTGTCCCCCCAGATTCCTGTGTGGAAACCTAACCCTCAATCTGATGGTTATTAGAAGGTAGAGCTTTGGAGAGGTGATTTAGGACATTAGGATGGAGCCCTTGTGAATGAGATTAGCGCCCTAATAAAAGGGCCCCGGAGAGCACCCTTGCCCGTTTCACCACGTGAGGACTTGGAGCCCTTGCCTGGGTGAGGCCACTTACAAGCCCCCCAAGCCTCCATCTCTGCATCTGTAAAATGGGCCGGGGCAGCAGCAACCCTACAGACATGCTGTGGGAGCTAGGGAATGAACTCAGGTAGGTGCATACACAGTGCCAGCCCATCAGGGATGGCCTGCAGCACAGCTCTGCAGATGTCCCCCAGAGAGGGCTGAGAGATATCACGCATCTGCCAGAAAACCAGAGCGAAGCAAAGAGGAGACAGTCAGTCAAGAGGGCTCCTGCGTTGGACGAGATGAGACCACCTTCTCATCAGAGCTCCCGCTTCCTGAGAAAGGACTTGGGGTTCAGCTCTGGCATTTTCTGCTCAAGGGTAAGCCATGGGCAGGTAGGGGCACACCTGGCTGAACACTGTCCGTGATGACAGTAGGAATGTCACCGAGGTTAATGACTCTCTCGAGCCAAAGGCCAACTCACCAACTTTTCCAGCTCAATAATCTTCTTTTCCTGTTGGTGGATCTGCTGATTTTTCATCTCTAAGACCTGCTTCAGACTCTTCATGTCTTCTTCCAGGTGCTGATAGGGAGCCAATGCAATCTACAGGGGCAAAGAGCAACAGGTGATGGACCGGGGCCCCCGGAGTTCACCAGTGTCCCCAGTCTGGGGCAGCCACAGCACCACAGAGAGAGAGGATGCTCGCAGGCTTCCTTGACAAAGGGACCCTTCCGGATTGCCCCTGAGAACCTTCCTAAAATCCAGCTGTCTGCTCCTCCCAGCCTCGGTTTCCTTGCCGCCTCCTCATCTTCCATTCCAGCTCTCTTGTTGACTGTCCCTTCCTTCAGCCAGCTCCCTCTCAAACCCAGCTCATGCTGGACCCCATTTGACTTTTCTGGCCTCAGAACTGGGTGGCATGTCCCTGTGGGGGAGCAGGTGAGACTTGGCTGTCGCCCACGAGAATGCCTGATGCTGAAACCACTAGACACTCCAGCAGGGAACACATTGGGTGGAGAGAACAAATCCAGTGCTGGCTTTTAACATTCATCCAGACTACTTGGTTCACCAGGCAGCTGGGATCTCATAGGTCCCACCTGCGTCCAAGCAAAAGGATTTAGAAGGCAGAAAAGTGGCTGGGCGCAGTGACTCATGCCTGGAATCCTAGCACTTTGGGATGCCAACGTGGGAGGATTGCTTGAGCCCAGGAATCCAAGACCAGCCTGGGCAACACAGTGAGACCTTGCCTCTATTAAAAACATAAAAAAATTAGCCAGACGTGGTGGTGCATGCCTGTAGTCCCACTTTCTTGGGAGGCTGAGGCAGAAGGATCACCTGAGCCCAGGAGGTCGAGGCTGCAGTGAGCCATGTTTATAACACTGCATTCCAGCTTGGATGACAGAGTCTGACATTGGCTTGAAGGAAAAAAAATCAGAAAAATTATTTTAGAAAAAGAAACACTTCTGGATATAACAAATAAAAATACAGGCTATCATTAAATTCAAACTTCAGATAAATAACTTTTAAAAGAATTAGTGTAAGTACTACACAGATACACTTACACCAAAAAAAATCATTTATCTGCCATTCAGATTTAGGGCATCCTGTATTTTATGTGGCAGCTCTACATTAGAGGGAAGGCATTTTGCCAGTTTTTCTGGAAAAAATTCCCCTCAACCTACTAACTCCCTACAGCTGGAGCCACCCTGTGCCAACCTAAAGTTGAAAGAAGAGGGAATGAGGGGTGGTCCAGGGTGGACAGTTTCCAGACCTGCTTCTCATAGGCACCCTGAGACCCTGGCTGGAAAGCGCTATGGAATTTGGCAAAACTAACATGTCGATGAAGAAACCCACACTGCTCTGTGTCTCAGAGGAAAGGTGTTGACAGGGATTGTTTAAAGATCCAGAGGAAGTCGTGACCAGCTGTCACCTCAGCAGAGGATCGCTAGAGAGGCCTCATCCCTGAGTGAGCCTGCTGAGGAAGCCACATGGCCTCACTGGGCTAGGGTCTCATGGATGGGGAGGGACCTGGAAACCAGACATTACCTCCAGCTGCTCCTCTGTGTTTTTCCTCAAAGCCTCTTCGAAGCGACGGGCTCTATCCCGCAGAGACTGGCTCTGGAAGGTCAGTGTATCCACCTGGTCCTGCAAGTAATGACATGAGAAGTCCAGCCAGGGCCACAAAGATGGCAGACACTGAAGCTTGGGCAGCTGTGAGGAGAGGGCCACTACCTCTCCCTGGGGTCCTCAGAGGGTCTCCCTCAGGACTGAAGAATGAAGTGTCAAGAGGGATCCCCACATCTGCATGATAAAGGGAACTTCCCCCTGAGGCTCCCTGGCTTGCACCTTCTTGTCCAGAATTAATCACAGAAACACTGATGGATGAGTTTTATGCCTGTGAATGGGGGCATTTATATCTGATTCTAGAGAGGCAGACAATCAGCAGAGAGATGTCTAGGCCAGGAGACATCTAGCCCCTGACTTTAGAAAGACCATGATGAGTAGATTTCAAAGAAAAATCGTTCTCACTTATAAAAGCTCAAGTTGGAAGTCATCAAACCATCCTTGACTTCCTTCTTTGCCTTGCAGCTCCTCCCACCACCACCAATCCTCTAATTATCAAGTCAGTAATCATATCCTGCCATCCTTCCTAATGTCCCTGGAATCCATGGACTCCCCTGAGCTCGGACCACACCACTGGCTCTTTCCTATATTATTACTCTTTTTTCTGCACTATTACTCTTTTGTCCTCACACTGCAGTAAGGCTACTCTTTCTAACATGTAAACTTGAACCTGCCTTTCCCCTCCCTCATTCCCGAAGCCCTCAAGGTGAAGTGCATACTCCTTAACACAGTGTCAAAGCTATCTGGTCCTCCCAGCCTCAGTTTCCCTGCCTCCCTCTCATCTCCCATTCCAGCTCTCCTGTTGGCTGCCCTCTCCTCTAGCCAACTTCTTCTCATGCCTGGCTCACATTAGTCCCTACTTGGCCTTTCTGGCTTCAGGACTGGGTGGCACATCCCTGGTAGGTGCTTCCACGTAAGCTAAGTCCACCCAGTTCTGTTCTCCCTGCTAGACTTTCTCCCCAGCTAGACTGACACTGGGACAGCCTCTCCCTGCAGGTTGAAGGAATGAAGGAGAGTCTGAGGACACCTCTTCCTCAGCTCCCAGGGCGGATGCAACTACCCTGACCCCATCCCACACACCCCCAGCCCTGATGCTCAGCACCACAGCCCTGCAGAGAATGCATGGCCGTGACTTTCCACTGATTCTCCAGGATGCCTTCAGTCATGCTAAGAAGCCAAAGTTTTCTGGTCAATGACACCACTTCTGTAACATGAAAACACAGGGATCAGGACTTCCCAAGAACTCTTCGAGCAAGAGAAATGGTCTCATCCTACCCAACGGCAGGAGCTGAGTATTGTCATCTCTGCAATTCGACACAGTAACCCTGCAGAGCATGGAGCTCCAGCTTGATGCTTGCTTTCTTACAGCGGAGGACTTCAGTTTACACACCTCCTCAGGCAAGTTCCTTTTTCTCTATTTTTTTCTCTTCCAGTTATTTTCATTTCATTTTGAAGAAATAAAAGTCCCCACTGTACCATTCAATGCAAATGTCGGTGCATTAAAGCAATACAGGTGTGGGGGAGGGGGAAGTAAGGCCCGGGGCAACCCCACTGGCGGGCACAGGTCACCTGCCAGAATGTGACTATAAAAAGGACCTATCCCTCCATGACTCGGACAACCTAAAATACCAAACTGTGATTTTTCTGCTCTGTTCACCATCACTCAAAACAGAGCCGCAGGTGTAGGATGGTGCCGCCACAGTCAGACAGGGGAGACGGTTTGAAATTTCAGCTTTGGTTGGTTCCTTTATGTCATGCTAAAAGGCACAAAGACCCAGCTGTTGACCTGACCCACCATGGGCCACTCAGGAGTCAACTGATGGCAATGACAACAATAACGAATGTAACAACGCTTGAGACTACCATCACAGTTATAAGCTGCTGATTAGCACTTCCCACAAGCCCCCCAGTGCTGTGCACTCTTCATACACGACCCTCCTCAATCTGCTCACACCTCGAGAAAGGTACTGCCATCATCCCATTTTAGAGTTGGGAAAAGCAAGGCTTACAAATGTTGCCACCGCCCAAGATCTCAAAGCTAGAAAGAGGAAGCACTGCAGGGATTTAAATAAAAGCTCAAATCTCTAACTACTAAAAGGATATAACATGGATGTAATGAACCCAATGAGCAGCCATTTTAACATTACCTAAATCTCATGTTTTTCGAGCAGTTCACATAACTTACCCTCTAATCACCAATCAAGGACAGAACCGGTTTCTCAGAGGTAGCTATTGATAATTGCTTTCCACCACCCTCTCCAGCTTGCTTTGTACTAATTAGCTTTTCTATTTCAAGTATTTGCCTCCACCCATAAGACTCAGGTGAACCCAATCAGCCCTTTGTGTCCTTCCTGACACAGAACTCATCACCAAGGCAGCAGTCATGTGACTAACCCACCCATCTGCCTGTTGCCCATCACCTGACTTCAGTACCTGTGCTTACCTGCCCCTTTGTGATGATGTGGAGCAGAACACCACCCAACCACCTTAATGACCTGCCTCTATCCAAGGGGAATGTTTAAAAGCATTCAACCTTGAGCAGCCACCGTTGCCTTACTAGACTCTGGTGTGACCATGTTTCCTGGCTTTGACCACTCCCTACCTTGGGGAGGTAAATTCTCTTTCTTCTCTCTCTCTGTCTCTTCCTCCCTCTCTCTTCCTCTCTCTCTCCCATTTACTTTTTAAATAAACGCTATTTTCCAGTCTAACTTCTGTGCAATTCTTTGCATCTTTTGTGAGGGACTGGATCGCACACGAGACACCTCCACCCCCAGTGGTTCTGACCTCACATTCTGGAAGCCCCACTGGGAGTGTGACCTAACAATTACCAAACTTGTTTCTCCAGTGACCTGAATAGCTCCACCTCCTTGAACTAAACAAACTCCTGCCGAGATGGATTCTGCTGAGTGGAGCGTTACAATCAACAGATGCACGGTTCATGATCGTTTGATAATCGTGGCACAGTGAAGACTCCCAGGTGAGACAAAACTCTCCCTTCTCTTGGTTTAGGATTGGGTGAGGTTTTTGTTATATTGCTGTGTGGCTGTCACTTTCCTGATGTGTGTTCCTTTAAGGACAGCACAGCTATTGGGACAGTATTGGATGCATATGTATGAGGAAGGCAGTTTGGGGTTCATTGGCCAGGGACAGGCCATGTGAGGACTATGATGATATATTGCAGGCCTGTGGAAGGATCTGTAGGTTAGTGGTGGCCTTGTGGCAGGGGGTCCCGTTTTAAAGTTTTCGAGTCTACACCCGATAGTGTGGTGCTGGGTGTCTCCACAATCCTGGATCTTTCCTTGGGACAGGTTTGGTGTCATGCACGTTGTCAGAGGAAAGTGAGCCATCGAAGAAGAAAATGCCTGCCTAGATATTACCACTACTATAATTGCCTCCCACAATATCCAGAGGTGAGTGTCCCAAATATTTAAAAAATAATCTTAGGATGGGTGTGGTGGCTCATGCCTATAATCCCAGCACTTTGGGAGGTAGAGGCAGGAGGATTCGTGAGCCCAGGAGTTTGACACCAGTCTGGACAACACAGCCACACCTCGTCTCTACAAAAATGATAATAACAGTCATAATAAAAATAGGCCAGGTATGGTGGCTCACACCTATAATCCTAGCACTTTGGGAGGCCGAGGCCAGAGAATTACTCGAGCCCAGGAGTTCAAGACCAGCCTGGGTAACATGGCGAGACCTCATCTCTACAAAAAAATCAGAAAATTAGCCAGGCATGGTGGTATACACCTATAGTCCCAGCTACTCAGGGGGCTGAGGCAGGAGGATCACCTGAGCCCAGAAGATCAAGACTGTGGTGAACTATGATCGTGCCATTGCATTCCAGCCTGGGTGACAGAATGAGACCCCAATTCATAAATGAATGAATGAATAAATACGAATCCTGCTCCGATTGGAATTGCCACACTTGGAGGTGGACGCTGTACCCTGACCTCACCCCAGCCACCCAGGCAGCTCCTCCCTAGGCTGGAGGTCGTTGGTGTCCGCCCAGAAGCAGTGGCTTGGGTCTCTGGAAGGCAGGAGGGGCGTGCCTGGGATCTGGGAGATCTTGCATTCTCCCCTTAGGGGCCAGCAGGAAGCCAGGCAGCTGCTCCTGCATCTGAGACAATGTTGCTTTCAGGTGGCAGTGAGAGGGTGTTTTTCGTCTCCACCACCTCCAGGTGACCTAGTGCCTTTTGTAACTCCCAGCACACATCCTGTGGGTTCCAACCTTCACACCCTTCTGTGCACTGGTATTTCCTTCCCAGAATGCTCCTCTCCTCAAGTCCTCCTCTTTCTCTAACACAGCTCATTACTCCTTGGGTGTCTCTGACCACAGCACGTGCAGGCCAGCCCTCTGAACTTCCGCAGTGCTCACTAACTGCATTGTTCATAAGTGAGCGTTCCCTTCTGTTGTTGCCAGTTACTGTTTGGGCCGTGGCTCTCTGAGCAGACGGCACATTTCTCAAGGGCAGGGAGTGTGACTTACTGACCTCTACATTCCCATGTTAGTGCAGGTTCCAGTACACCGTTGGTGCTGGATAAGTGTTTGTGGATGGAAATAACGATGCTGCCATTACCTTGATCTCAGGTAAGAAAATTAAGGCCATATTCACCTGTAGTGACAGCCGCAGTTTTTCAAAATTTTCTTCCAACTCTTTCTTTTCAAGCTCGTGGGTGGACATCAGTTCTAGAGGAAAGACGTCACATGGTTAGGTTGGTCAGATGGAGACCAGGGACTTCCGAACTTGAGTGACTCTGTATACAGTGGATTCAAGCAGAAGAGGCTCCGCCCCCAGGGTGAAATCAGATGTCATGACCAGGGGGCATTTGGGAGGAGAGAGGAAGGGGGAGGTGGGAGTAGGGAGAGGGAAGGACACACACACACCATACACATATACATACCATCACACACACACATATATACACACATACCACACACACATACATACCACACACATCACATACACCACATATGCATACATACACGCACATACATACCACACCATACACACACACCACATATATATACACACCACACACACACCACATACATATATGCACACCACATGTAGACACACACACACACCACACACACTACACACACACTACACACACACCACAAGCACCTCCCACATACACCACACACACACACACACACACACACCCACACACTACACACACACCACAAGCACCTCCCACATACACCACACACACCACATACAACCACACCACTCACATATACCACACACATATACACAGACTCCCCTCACCCTCACTCACCACATACATACATCACACACACACCACACACATCACACACCACACACAAACTCCAACACATATCTACCATGCATACCACACTCCCCCACACACACATCACACACATATCATATATATCACATACACATATCTCTACACACGCATCTATACCCCCACATATGTATACTCACCCCCCCCCCA